CCCTACTGTATACTTTGTACACCATTAACAATTTGTCCTTAATAACCTCCATCTGCACTGATCCACGTCCAGTTTGCAATCTCTAAGCATCTGGAACACCTTCACCAGTAGACACGTAATTCTTCAAGGCATATTACAACTATCAGGATAAAGGATGTGTATGTGATAAAAGATAAAGAGTCTACTGATTTTACGTTTCTAATGATGAAAGTTTCCTTCTATATTCCAGAGATTTGGGGTAGGAATGAGTCAAAAGACAGTGAAGTTTTTAAGAAAGGGGCAAAGTCTTTCAAACTACGATCCAACATCCCGGTAAAAGGTGTTCCCCAATTACTGAAGAGATAAGTTGGAACATTCTGGGTAGAGAATGTGAAACTCTTAAGGTAGGACCAGGACTTAGACTTGAAGCATGGATTTATAGAGTTAGAGATGAGGCACAAACTAGATATCCTCTGATATCCTTGAAAATGTGCTCCCATATGGTCAATTTGTCCCTTTTGTGATGGGTTGTTCTCAGAAAAGGTTTTGGCAGACGTCCATTTGAGGTTCTATCCTGTGCTCCCGAGACAGTGGTCCTGGCTTCACCAGCTTTATCCTCATGGATCTTACAGGCTGATCATGCCCCCATAGAGGGGCCCAGATGGAAGCCTGAACATACAGTGGATTACGTTATAGGAGAGGAACAGTGAGCTTGGGGGAGCCATCTCTTTTATATCAAGCAATAAGCAAGCCTTTTCTTTGTCCCAGAAGGAGACATCAGGGTTGTGTGCTACAAACACTAACTTGAGAAATGGGCCATAAAAGAGCTGTCAGGGCCTTGCTTCTAAGTTCAAAAACCTGTGGATCCTACTTTCTCTGAGATATCTTGACAATGTGCCGTAGAAACTTTAAGTTCAAATTTGGACAAATTATCTTCACCCATACTTGCTTCTTTCTCTATTTTCCTTTTCACGGAGGCACTTAGTCATTCTCAACATTTTCCTCATCCACCAGGTCATCGGATTTTTTTTAGTTCTCCCTCTTAAATATCTCTTATGTTTCGCCTTCTGCACATCACTGACTTGGGTTCTACCCTCGTTATAAAAAGGTCAGAATTAAATAGACGATTGCAATAGGCTCTAACCTGGCATCCCTGCCCCTACTTCCACCTCCTGCAAACCAGTATCCTAAAATGCAGACTTGTTCCTGTAACTCCTGTGTTGAACACTCTTCACTCATTAAGCCTTCCAGGTAAAATCCAAGCTCCTTATCCGGGTCCACCTGCTTCTCCAGCTCCATCTACTGACATTTCCTGTAAGCTTTCTTACAGACCTTTTATAAGAATTGCTTGCTGGTAAGCATGCACCTCTTGCCACTTTTAGACTCAGTATCATTTAAAACGTAGCGTTCCTTGGCAGGTGGTAGGCATGTAATATATGTTATGCAGCATAAATATTTATTGAGTGGCTGAAAGTAAAAATAGGCTTAGCTTAAATGCAAGAAGGGTTTGACTTGGGGAATTATTTAGTTCCACCTTCTCTCTGTGTACTCCCTTTAACCAGTTACAATGATAGAGCTCTTTTGACAGGCATTGGACGATAATTTAACTAAATGAAAACACAAAAAGAGGGTACGGATATTGCTTATATCTACTTTGAAGACAACCCCAAACTCGCCACCTACTAATAACTGTAATTCTCTTGTTAAATTAAACAGCTCTACTACAAATACAGACAAATCAAATTAATTTTACTTCTCTAAGGAACCAGTGAGTCATGAGTCATTACAATACTCCTCGCCTTTTTTGTTATAGTGGAAAAAGATAAAAGCACAGCACATCAAGTGGCTATCTAAAACTACTGTCCTGTCTTCTAACCCTTAAAACACACCCATATTAACTTTAAATTATGTCTCTAGCAAAATGTATAACAAAAGCATTGACCCATCTCATTAATTCTGTGACTCCGTCAGCAATAGTCTGAACTTTTTAAAAAATTTATTTTATTAAAGTATAGTTGATTTACAATGTTAATTTTTGCTGTACAGCAAAGTGCTTCTGTTATACATATATATGTATATGTGTGTGTGTGTGTGTGTGTGTACACACACACACACACACACACACACACACACTTTTTCATATTCTTTTCCATTATGGTTTATCACAGGATATTGAATATAGTTCCCAGTGCTGTACAGTAGGACCTCAGTTGTTTATCCATCCTATAAATAACAGTTTGCATCTGCTAATCCCAGACTCCCACTCCACCCCTCCCTCAGTTCCTCCCTTCCCCCTTGGTAACTACAAGTCTGATCTCTATGTCTGTGAGTCTGTTTCATAGATAAGTTCATTTGTGTCATATTTTAGATTCCACAGATAAGTGATATCATATGGTATTTGTCTGTCTCTTTCTGAAGGGTCTGAGCTTTTATATCATGCCTGAGGCAGGCTTAGGCTCTAGGACGCTTAGTCAGTAGTAACGCTTTTGAATGGTCACAAGTTGGTCCACTTCACTAAATGATGTTAAAGACCCAAGTCTCTCGTTTACATGCTTGGGCACACCTTTGACTATAATGGAAATGAGAGTTCCCCTTCTGTAGGCTCCTGAAGCCACCTTATTACAATATGCAATTGTAACTGGAACCTGCCTGATGAGCTTAAGTCTTGTACCGCTTCCTGGCAGAGTTCTTCTCTCTCCGGGGGAGTCAGAAAAGCAGCAACATCTCCACCCTGGACAGAACTCACAGTGGTACCCAAAGGCTGAACCATCTGCCAAGCCTTGGTTCTCTGTTGGGCCAGGCCTGCTGGACTGCTTGCTGTCGGAGCCTGGCAGAGAGGTGTGTCTACTCCATGGTCACAAACGATGACCATGCAGGAACGCACCATTTGTGGTCGGCAGAGCATAGGCTGCGATATTCAGTCTCAAGAAATATTTCCACAGACTCTTAGTTTTCCATCCTCACGTAGCCAACCCTAAAACATCATCAAAGTAACAGTCACTGGTAAGCCCTATCTGGCTCCTTGTAGACTTGTTGATCCAGTAGCACCTGCTGGAGCCTGATCAAAGTGCCCTTTCTTTATGACTCCAGCTTTGGACATGGGGACAGGTGCCTTACAGCACCTTGACTAGGCTTAGTCTGGCCTGCCCTTGCCATCTCTTGCTGGCTCCTGGTGTGCTGCCTGCCCTCTGTGGTTCATTTTCCTTAATAAACCTGGATCCTTAACTGTGTGATGGCCTCAGGACACCACTCAGTGTTGGCAATTAATGTGGGCCTGTTGTCTGCTAAACTCTCCTCAGTAATTTCATTTGGCCCCAGTTATCATCCAGGCTGTTAACAGATCACCCCTTCCTGGAGAGACCGTTTCCACTCAACCATGAGCTTCATTATTTATATTTTTCTTAAATAATACAATCATCATCCTAGTTAATACTTTTTATGGACACACCTTTGACTATAATGGAAATGAGAGTTCCCCTTCTGCTCTATCTCCTCCTATACCTCTTCAAGCCCTTAAAACACATTCATATGTTAGTTCATCACAGAAGGAATTCCCTGTGACTTCTCTTTATAAAATATTTCTGATCCCATCTACATACACCTTTGGGTTTGTCGTTCTCAAGTTCTGGATTGTGTTTCTACTGGGACTGCTTCCCAAGATCCCTTTTTAGAAGTATAAGAGCATCTTTCTAATGTTCTTTTAAGTCTAACTGGCTCGACTTGCCTTGGACCAGTCTTAATTTGAATGCCTTCAGGTAAAATCTTTACATGCTCAAAATGCTCCCAATAATTTCCTATATTCTTTTATCTGGCCAACTTTGTTAATTTATATAAACTAGCTAAATATCTATCCTGTAACCAGTTCCAGTCCTGGGAACACCTGCCAAACCATCTAAGTTGTCCTTTGTCCCTCCCTACCTACCCTTTGTCCTTCTGACAGAGTCCTTATCATCTAATGGAAACAGTATCCTTAACTCTTTGTCCAATGTGCTAGTCCTTCTTTAAGGCCTACCTTAAGTGAGAAATTTCCCTCCAATGAGATTCCACTACCCTAATGATTCTACCATCCTATATATGCAGGTCTCTGATCATTAAATTTGATGTCCTATTAAATCACTCTCCATTTTGAGTCCTGATATCAAGTCTGGGAGAATATGAGTTGAATCTTTTTCTCTGTTTTTAAATTTAAAATACTAAAAGAGGGCTTCCCTGGTGGCGCAGTGGTTGAGAGTCCGCCTGCCGATGCAGGGGACACGGGTTCGTGCCCCGGTCCGGGAGGATCCCACATGCCGCGGAGCGGCTGGGCCCGTGAGCCATGGCCGCTGAGCCTGCGCGTCCGGAGCCTGTGCTCCGCAACGGGAGAGGCCACAACAGTGAGAGGCCCGCGTACCGCAAAAAAGAAAAAAAAAATACTAAAAGAACTAAAAATAGTCGAGCCTCAATGTTTCACATACTGGCTTGCTGTACAATTCTTCATTTCTACTTTCCAGAGAAAACGATTTACCAACGTTTGCTTTATCTACCTTTTGCAGTTATGTATAAGGACATAGACTTACTCACCTTAAACACTCCTAACAGCAGTTCTATCTCACCTTCCCAACAGGCCCTGTTTCCCCACACACTCACACAAATTACTTGCATAGTATTATAAATGAGTCTGTATATGCTTTTCAGGAAATTTTTTCATATTTGAAATAAAAACTTTGTTAAAGTAGCTAAAGTCAAATAGTTTTTGCTAACAGTTTTATCGAAACATGGATTAAAAAACGTAAGATAATTGCACAAAATGTGCCACTTTTGCAAAGAGTTACTTAGTTTGCTGGGAGCAGTAGCTAGGAGGCTAAGTTTTAGAATTACTTTTCTACTCTTGGGCAAATAGATCGATCACTTATAAAAGTTGATCTTCAGTTATAAATGGAAGTGATGACCTCTTTTATAGAGTTTAAAAGACCTGGTGGCTTTTGTTGGAATGCACAGAATCTACATAAACACCTATATGTTTTTGTTTTTTAACTTTATAGGAAATTAATGTGTTGACAGTCGCATTGGTCAACCAAGACCGAGAGAACAATATTGAGAAAAGAAGCCAAGGCTTAAAATCAGAGAAAGAAGCTCTGCTGATCGGTAAGGAAATTCTGTTTTCCTCATCTGTTCTCTCGTAGGTAATAATTCACTTAAACAATATTTAAGTAATTCACCTCCAACTTGTTGATGATTTAAGAGCTTTGTCAGAGGTGGGGTTAACTTCATCAAGATCGTATTACACACATTTCAAATTAGGGGCATGCAAGCCAGTGGGGACTTTGCTCTTCTGTAACTATGTGTATTAGTTGGTTATCCAACATAAAACTGGGTACAAGGAAAACAGATTAACCTGCATTTCACATGTTATAAATCTGAATTTCAAAATGTGGACACAACTGGACGCCAGGTTGAGTTCAGTTCAAAAGTTCCACACCAAGCCAGATCCCCAGGCTCAGGAGCGGCCACGTCCTGAGGTCAGTCCCAAGGCCAAACCTGAAATGCCGATGATACAGGGACATCTAGACTACAGTGCTAGGCCAATCTAGGACAGTCTAGCCAGGCTTCCCTGCCCAAGTCTGGACTCATTTATCCAAGATAAATAAGACGAGCTGGCCACTAAGGAAGGGGAAAGCAAGGAAGTTGCTGTTCACCTAAACATGTTCAGTTGCCCCACGAAATATATCTAAGTTGGCTTTTTCTTTGTCAGGACCAGAGAGAGCTCCAAATATTCTCTCTTTTCTTATTTATTTATTTTTCATCGAAATATAGTTGCATTACAATGTTGTGTTAATTACTGCTGTACAGAAAAGTGACTCAGTTATACATATATGTATACATTCTTTTTCATATTCTTTTCCACGATGGTTTATCACAGGATATTGAATATAGTCCCCTGTGCTGTACAGTAGAACCTTGTTGTTTATCCATCCTGTATATACCAGTTTGCATCTGCTAACCCCAAACTCCCAATCCAACCCTGTCCCCACTTGATATGGGTCAGCGTATACAAAAGCAGTACCTAGTCTCATAAGGAAGTCTTCTCAGTGGGGCTGTGGTGGTACCGTGCCTGGGACCCCACCTTCGAAGCCTGTATATTTAAGGCCGTCTCCAGAGTTCTCAAATCCAGAGAAGGAGAAGCCACCAGCTTCACTCCCTGATGCACAGCGTTGATTCAAGCTACACCTTGGCACTGACCCCAGTGTTAGCTTCCAGGTTTAGCCTGGCTCCTCTGTGGCATGATTAAGAGTGAGGAACGAGGCTGTCGTACACATGAGACAAACTGTTCTTCTGTGGTTCGTTATCTGGCAGAAGTACCGCCTGGTTGCAGTTCCTAAGTATTGCATGCACTCACCTCAAAATGCCAGGTACGTCAGGTCCTGCAGAAGCTAGCACAGGAGGAATTAAATTCAAAAGATAGTCCCAACTTCATCCATCATCTATAGATTTTTTCAACTACAAGGTTATTGAATATGACATCAACTTAGAGCTACTCCAAGGAAAACCAATTATTTTTTTTCCTCTGTGATGATATACAGCTGTGATAACATGCCGTGCACAAATTTCATCAGACATGCTGATGTGCTATCAGTTCCAGGAACCCAAAATGAACCTGTATGTAGTTAGCAACTTTCTTCTAT